GACAAGTAACCAACACGTTCTTTCAAACAATAATTAAGTGACAAGTAACCAACACGTTCTTTCAAACAACAATTAAGTGACAAGTAACCAACACGTTCTTTCAAACAATAATTAAGTGACAAGTAACCAACCTGTTCTTTCAAACAACAATTAAGGGATAATTAACCAGTAAGTTCTTATCTTACACAACAGTTAACCAATGAGATCTTCTTTTACACAACAATTAACCAATTAGCTCTTCTATTGCACAACATTTAAGTGACAGGTAACCAATGAGTTCTTCGCTTACACAACAACTATTATTAAGCCTAGCGTTTCAAGTGGGAAACTTGATATGAGGCTTGTTATTACTTTAATTAATTGTCTGAGTTACGCGTTATTATTCGTGATAAATAAATGAGTTGTTTTATGAGTACTTTTCATTTAAATATTATTTTCAGTGTTACTATAAGTTAGTTTTTACAGTGCAATTGGGCAGGTAACCAAGAAAAGTTCAACCCTTTCAGTACTTCTAGGTTATAATAATCCTAGCGTATGTCTGTGCAGGAGCCACAAATCCCATGAACTTATTTTGAATATGGCGTTCCATTCCTTTTAGTGAATCCTAATCCACTTACATGTACTTATATCGTTTCTCCTCTAAGAATACAAAACTCGTACTGAAACGGTTAAATCTCTAAGTACCAAAACTTTGACCTGTCATAGCGTGGTGGTTAGGGTACTCGGCTCGCAATCTACGGGCTGCGAGTTCTAATCCCTTCGCCGAACATGATCGCCCTTTCAGCCGTGGGGGGTGTTATAAAATGACGGTCAATCCCACTATTCGTTGGTAAAAGATAAGCCCGAGAATTGGCGCTGGCTGGTGTCGACTAGCTGCCTTTCCTCTAGTCTATCACTACGAAATTATGGACGGATAGAACAGATAGCCCTCGAGCAGCTTTGCGCGAAATTCAACAAACAAACAAAAACACAACTTTGGAATGTTTCTTAATGTTTTCGTGTAGAAAAACAAAAAAAAAAAACAACTAGAAAAGACCCGTTTTGACCAATAAACGTTAAGATACGTACTTCAATGAATTCCCGCAAGTCCGTGTAACTACGGACTTTATACTTTTGTAAGATAAACTCGCCAGTTGCGAAACAAAACATAAAGTTTCGCGTTTATTTTTTGGCACACCTTGACTTGTGTGTGTGTTTCTGCTAAGACTTAAAATTTCAACATCATGATGTACATAATATTCCGTGATGCAATGTACATGCTTTTCCGTGTTGTAAGACTCGACGCTCTAGAGAGCGGAAGGATGATCAGACAACTTCGCTCATCCGTTTCTTAGATCGAATTCCTTGTTGACTCTCCGCTGCAATCAGTGCTTCATTTCTGCCGGATTTCACCTCGTCTGGGTTCCGGAACCTATTCTAGAAGATTATCGTTGTTAGTATTCTTCATTTAAAAGCGGAAACATTATGATTATAAACCTGCTTCAGTACGAATTGATATGTGATTGACGTGATCAACTTTACTCCTCCTCTCCAGCCCCATCCATATAGTAGCCTGATTAAAATATAAACTGTTAGATCCCAAAACTGAAAACATCCCCGTCTCACCCGTCAGCAACGACCCAATACCTTCCCATCTCTCTATCCACCCTCACCCCCGTGGTTAAGTGGTAAATCTGAAGACTTATAAAAAAAACCGGGTTTCTAAATCAGTGGCGGGCACTGCACAAATAGCCCATTGTGCTTAACAAAAACAAACAAACGACCCCTTTTCTCTAGAAATTAAGCATTAATTGCAAAATATTACTTCTAAAGTGTATGTACGAAACTGTACACAAGGAAACGTCAAAAATAATCGTAGAGCTAATAAAAAACAAATTGCAAGGCTTCAGGGGAGAATGTCGCTTTGTTGTGGATTTGACATGTCGCTTTGTTGTGGAGTTGACATGTCGCTTTGTTGTGGAGTTGGCATGTCGCTTTGTTGTGGAGTTGACATGTCGCTTTCCTGTGGATTTGACATGTCGCTTTTCGTTGTGGAGTTGGCATGTCGCTTTGTGTGGAGTTGGCATGTCGCTTTGTTGTGGATTTGACATGTCGCTTTGTGTGGATTTGACATGTCGCTTTGT